TGTTTTTTTGAGACGGAGGGTCGCTCTGTCCCCCAGGCTGGAGTGTAGTGGCGCGATCTCGGCTCACTGCAAGCTCCACCTCCCGGGTTCACACCATTCTCCTGCCTCAGCCTCCTGAGTAGCTGGGACTACAGGGGCCCGCCACTGCACCCAGCTAATTTTTTTGTATTTTTAGTAGATACGGGGTTTCACTGTGGTCTCAATCTCCTGACCTCATGATCTGCCCGCCTCGGCCTCCCAAAATGCTGGAATTACAGGTGTGAGCCACCGCGCCCAGCCAGGTGCAAGTTTTAAACTACATTCTAAAGTACTTTAGGGTCAGGTGCAGTAGCTCATGCCTGTAATGCTAGCACTTGGGAGGCCAAGGCAGGAGGAATGTTTGAGCCCAGGAGTTCAAGACCAGCCTGGGCAACATAGTGAGACCCTGTCTTTAAAGAAAAATTTAAAATGAACTGGGTGGCCAGGCACGGTGACTCACGCCTGTAATCCCAGCACTTTGGGAAGCTGAGGTGGGTGGATCACTCGAGGTCAGGAGCTGGAGACCAGCCTGGCCAACATGGTGAAACCCCATTTCTACTAAAAGTACAAAAATTAGCTGGGTGTGGTGATGCGTGCCTGTGATCCCACCTATTCGAAAGGCGGATGCATGAGAATCGCTTGAACCCCAGAGGTGGAGGTTGCAATGAGCCGAGATTTACCACTGCACTCCAGCCCGGGTGACAGAGTGAGACTCTGTCTCAAAAACAAACAAAAAAAGAGCCAGGTATAGTGGCATGTGCCTGTAGTCTCAGCTACTCAGGAGACTGAGGTGGAAGGATCATTTAATCCCAGGAGAATGAGGCTGCAGTGAGCCATGATTGTGTCATCGCATTCCAGCCTGGGCAAGAGAGAGAGACCCTGTCTCAAAAACAAAACAGAACAAAAAAAGTAAAGTACATTAGGTCCCCAGATCATGGTATAACACTTTTTTATATTTATTGGTCAAATCATATTTCTCTTACATAATTAATTTGAGATACATTAAACAGCAAGTTAAATGTAAAAAGCAGAAATTTGTCTCCATATATTATGTTATCTAAAATTTTATTTCAAGTGATCTTTGTAATACAGTCTTTCATATTCTAAAAGTAGAACATGAATATTTTTAGTCAAAATCAATCACTTCTTTATCATATACTACTCAAAAATGACAATTTATTTAACATTTCCTAGGTGTATTTTGTGAGTCAAAAAAGGATTAGGAAACCCTGCCCCAATATGACTCCTTACCTGAGAGAAACAGCATCTCTGCACCTCACAGCCAGGCCAAGCCCTGTTAATATCCTCTCCAATGCACACAGCCAGAGTTCCTTATTTATATGGTGTCTCCAAGCACCCAAGAGTCAGCCAGTTCTAAAGGGAATTCATCACTGTCATCAGCTGGCCCTGGGTCTCCATGGGCACTGTGCCTGTCTCCTGGGCATGCCTTTTGCTGAATGTTACCACCCATCTTCAACAGAAATACTCCTTCAAGAGACAGGCCAGGCCTGGGCTGGGGCTAGAGGTACAGAGACATCTGGGACCCAGGCCCTGCCCTAAGGGGCACTGCACAGATTACAGGATGGTGTGATAACTGGCGACAGTTATAACTCGAACTCAACTGGGGCTGGTATCTGAGAAGCTTGAACTTAGTGTAGGGGCAGGAAAGTACTCCTGGAGGAGGTGATGCGTGATTAGGAGCCAGGCCCGCTAGAGGGGATGGTGTTCCAAACATCAGGCTTGGCCTGTGCAAAGTCCATGGGCGTCTAAGACAGTGACATATGAGAGACTGAGCCCAGCTCACTGTGAAAGCAGGGCAGGCTACACTGACCTGGGGGCGACTGGGCCTTCGCTGCTTTCTACATCCTCTGACCCGTCCCCCATCAGAATCTCAACAGACTCGTCACCTCCAGGGCCTGCACTGCTCTCCCAAGGTTGCCCAATTTCTCTCATTTCCTAGGGAAGGCCAGGTCTGCCAGCACTCAGAGGGCAGGGCCTGCTGGCATGCCCCAGGGTGAGGCTGGGCCCAGCGAGTCCCTCCTTTTGTGTGTCGCAGGAGCCTGAGCCTGCAGAGGTGGCTCTCTAGCACCTAGCTAGAGACGATTTGACCAGTGCCCTGCGACCCACGGTTCACTTTCAAGGGTATCCACAAGAGATGTGTCTGCTCCACCCAGTGGGATGAAGCATCCGGCCCTGAGTCAGGATGCTGGGGTGCTGGCCATCTCAGCCACCCACTCCCTTGCAACCCCAGGCAAGCAAGTCCCTTCTCTCCTCCCGGCCAGGGGCTTTCCAGATGAAAGCAGCTGCACCCCTTTACTCTCAGGGACCTAAAATTTCGGCGACCATGTGGAGCCATAAACCCTTCTGCCTCCTGTCCCCCCAGCCCCACACCTACCTGGCGTTTTCGTGTCACGGAACCTCTGCACGTGCTCTTCTCGAGGCCTAGAGTCCCTCTCTCTCCCTCTGGCCAACTCCTATTTCATCCCTCACAGACCCAACTCGAACGCCATCATCCCCGGAAAGCTGGGATTCCTCCCTTCCGTCTCTGCTTCCTTATCTCGCTGTCCTGTTGCGCGCGCCCTCGGTGTACGCGCAGAGCCCGGGGCTGAGTGAGGGCCTCCGGGTCCCTGACTGGGCGCGCGGCCGGGACCGCAGCGGCATGGGGAGCATCAGCAGCTGTGGGACTCCGCCCCGGCGCGACGGGGTTAAGGGACCCGGACCTTGAGGGCCCCACCTCCGGAGCGCTCCACCCGCGTGGGGGAAGCCGCCCCGGAGGCTCCGACCTCGCTCCTGCTTAAGACCCTCACAGCCACAAGAGCCCCCACTTAGGTGAACATTTCGGGCGGGACCCCGGCGGTTCAGACCCGGAGGCGGCTCCTCCCGGCGTCGGCCTTCGGTCCTCCCAACCAGAGCGCTCTTGGGACAAGCCGGGGATTCCCCGCCACCGCCCGCCCCCTGGCGTAACGGAGTCCGCGCAAGGCCCCGCCCGGGCCTGGCGCCGTCCTGGGCGAGAGGAACGCGCCGAGAGGCGGCAGAGCGCGGCCATGGCTGGGCCCGGCGTCCCCGGCGCCCCCGTAGCCCGATGGAAACGCCACATTGTGTGGCAGCTGCGTCTTCGGGACCGTACGCAAAAGGCGCTCTTCCTGGAGCTGGTGCCGGCCTGTGAGTGCGCCCCGGGGCTGAGAGGATGGTCGCTGAGGGGACGCGGCTACGGGCGCGGGGAGAGGGTTTGACTGGCTCCTCCGCTTGTGACCCGAGTGCGCTGTGCCTTGTGCCTTGAGCCTGTGCGTTACGCCCACCCCGACTGCCAGGACTCCGCCCCTTGCCATCCAGGCTCTGCTTAGAACCTGGACAAGCCCCTCCTGCCCCCCCGCCCTCGTCGTCCTTCAGGACGGGCTCTGCCTCCCACGAGCTGGGCTTCCGAGACGCAAGTGCGTCCCCGGGTGTTGGTTTTGAAGGGTCTCTTGTGCCTCCCCTTCCGGGCAGTCCCCGGGGTAGGGGCTTGATTAGTGCACTTAGTCTCCGTAGCGCAATGAAAGAACGCGGGACTTGTCCAGAGCAGCCACTTATTGGCCCATCCGGAGAGGGGCGACACTCGGAACCTCTAAGGAGGAGGCTGTGCATCTCAGGCTCTGCCGCCGACAGGCGACGCTGGCGCAGGCTTATGGAACACCTCCCCGTCAGCCTACCCAACCTGAGGGGGCATCAGGGGGCCCTGGGCTGCTGGCGGATGCCGGCTGAGTCCAGCGAAGTCGGACTCTCAGAATTGTTTCTGGGCAGCTGGTCAGGATGGGGTGTGGCAGTTCAAGACGGGATGAACAGGTGTGCCTGTGTGTCGCGCCTCTGGCCACCTGCGATTGTATGTCTGCTGTTGGAAGTCTAATCACAGTCCCTGCGGCTCTCTCACGGGGGCTAATCTTGGCCAAACCCCCACAATCAAATTTGCTCTTAGCCAGGGAAATTTCTCTGCAAGCTTCCAGGCTGCTGGTCCTCTGCCTTCAGGGTTTCGAGGCCAGCCCCCACCTCCAGCAGCCACACTTTTCCACTGCTCAGACGGACAGTGGAACCGTCCAGTTTGAGGGGGGGGGTTCCCGGCCCCCCCTCCCCAGGGAGCTGTGAGTCTGAGGGACTGGAGAGACCTGGAGGGCTGAAATCAGACCGAAGGGCCAGTCTTGAGACTTTGGGCAGGTCACAGTCTTCTTGCTTGTTAATTAGGTATTAACCTCAGTCTTCTTACTTGTTAATTGGGTATAGAGACCTTCTTTAGGTTTGCTGGGGGGTGCAGTACCCTGGGGGCTGAGGTGGGGTTTTCGTGAGAACTAGGCCAGGCCCAGGGGCCTCAGTCAAGGTGACAGACAGGTGGGAAGTAGTGTGGGAAGGAAGTTGATGAGGAGGGAGCTAGGCCTGGGCTTACTACCCCGCCCTCCCCTGGAACTGGTGAGAAAAGAGGAAGTGACTGTTGATGGGGGAGGGAGTGTGTTCCAGGGTCAAAACCTCCAGAATGTCTGCTGAATAATTGCTTAAGGACTTTCTATTCTAGCCTGGGGGTACCTTACACCAGGGCTGGGGAAGTTGGGATTATTTATTTATTTATTTATGAGAGGGAGTCTCTCTCTGTTGCCCAGGCTGGAGCGCAGTGGCGGGATCTCCATTCACTGCAAGCTCCGCCTCCCGGGTTCACGCCAGCCTCCCTTCTCAGCCTCCAGAGTAGCTGGGACTACAGGTGCCTGCCACCATGCCTGGCTAATTTTTTGTAATTTTTAGTAGAGACGGGGTTTCACCGTGTTAGCCAGGATGGTCTCAATCTCCTGACCTTGTGATCCGCCCACCTTGGCCTCCCAAAGTGCTGGGA